GGAGCGCCGCCGCGCTTCCCAAGCGGCGCACTAGCGCAGTGCGCCACTGGGCCGGCCCCTAAAATAAATATTTTTAAAGTGCCTTCCTACCATACTTTGGGTACTAGTTGGGAGTGGAAAAATGAGGTACTGGTCATAGTATATATATTTCTATTTGGTAGAATGCTATGTAGCCCTTCAGTATAATTATGAAGATTATAGCAATTTGGAAAATGCTTATAAGTAAGAAGTACAACTATTTGTGTTCTATGATTATAACTGTGTATGAGGACTAGAAGGATGCATTGTGTTCTCAAAGACTAGTAAAAATGGTGAAATACAAACCTGATTTATTATCATGAATGAGGTTGTAGATTTTTTTTTCCAGTTTGTGTAATTCATAAAGTATAAATGAAAGTCCACATAAATTTAAATTGTTTTGAAAAATATAATAAACATAAATTGACTAGAAAGAAGCAAAAGTATGTAGTCAAAGAGGAAAAAAGCAAAGTTTTATTTAAAGGACAGTAGATAGATTACCATGGTAGAAGAAAGATGAAAGATGAAGTTTAGAAAAGATGGGAATGAGGGCTTGTAGTTTAGTTTTGATAATGTAAGAAAAGAGAGCTAAAATAGGTTAACTGGGGAATTACGTGTAAAAAAAATAAAAAGCAAATTTTCTTCTGGCTTATTTAAGTGAACCGGAATGGGGGGAGGAGTTGAACTGGTCCATTGTGTTATTGACCATTTTCATATATACATTTAAGTTTGTAACTATTTTTCAGGCCTTATCTGGAGTGCTTTTGCTCCTTTATCATTCAGTAATAGTTAATAATTTTGCAAAACTTTTTATGTCCAGAATTTTTTTTTTCATATAGTTTAAAAATGTTTCTTCTGATTTTTATTCTTGCCTTTTTCTTGTCCTTAGTGTCAACCTAAGTTCCAAATGTTAATTACTTTGACCTAATGAAGTGAGAGGCGAAATAAAAAAAATCCGAATTGACAGGGCAGAAATTGAAAGGGAGAAAAACAACTCAGTTTCCATTACTTGATGAATGAGTAAGAGCTTTCTTGTGATGACTTCTCAACTTAGATCTCTTGAACCTTTTAGGAATAGAGAGCACATCCTTTTTTTCTATTTTCAAAGAAAATAAATATAATTTAAAGTGAAATACTAGCTAAGCTGGTATCTGTCAGCACCACACTCAGCCAGTGAGCAAACCAGCCATCCCTATATAGGATCCGAACCCGTGGCCTTGGTGCTTATCAGCACCACACTCTACCGAGTGAGCCACGGGCCGGCCCTTAGCTAAGCTGGTATCTGAAATTTTAAGATGCCTATAAACATTTTATCTTATGAGCTGACTCCTTAAGTTATCTATATCATGTTGAACAAAAGAATTTAAAAAACAATCATTGGTTAATGATATAGTATTATTGTTACTTGAGCTTGACTAAAGTTATTTCAGGGTATTATATTACTGTGATTTTTTTAGAGAACTGTTGAATCAAATGCATCTTTTCTATGGTCCCCAGTTTCCAAAAATGAATTTAAAGAAATTTAAGTAGTAATTGTGTAGGGGTTTTTGCTCTGATGTGCAATACTGAAAGTCCAAGTTTTGTGTGCGACTAGGAATGCTTTTCTCAAATGTTCTTTTCAAGTAATTTATGGTGGCTCTTGCCAACACAAGGCATTTTGTCTTAATTTATGTCTAGTATTTTTCATGAGTATTGCAAATTTCACATGCCAGTGTGAGTCTCTTGGTTTAATGGAATTGTTAGGAAATGCTTATTATTCATTTCTGTATTAATGATTTTCAGTATTTTCTTTGCCTTGTAATTTTTAACCATGTCTTCCCTCTAGCTTCTATACCCCAAACTTATTTAAAAAGAGTTGATTTAAAATTAAATGTACAGGTACATTTCCAGTATTATGGACTCTTCCTGATAAATCTTTCAAGATGTCATCTGGAATGTTGCCAGCTATGTTCTTGGCATTATATACTTTGCCAATTGTGCCTTAAAATATTTTACCTGCCTTTCCAACAACCCCCTTCCCCAAATGAATAAATAGAAAACAACAAGGCAAGGGAACTGGTGATATATAATTTACTTTTCTGTCAGTAAATGTAAGAGGATTTTATCACCACTTTAAAATTGATTATTCTTTTCTTATATTTATTGATAAAGAACAGTAACTTATTTCCTTTTAGTTATCATCTACTGTATTCAATTGTGAATGAGTTCAAACTATTAAAATTCATGAACCAGGAAGATCTAATAAAAAGGAATTTTTCATGCAAATTTCTCCCAAATATTTGGGTTATTAGTATAATTGTTGTTTATTTCCAAGGCTACCGTAGTAGTTTTCAAAAAGCCGTATAAATATATGTGTTTTCATGATAGTACTATTTCCATGCTCTCTCCTTTCTTTCTGCATAGGAAGACATAAAACGGTATTGTATGCAATAGTGACTATATGTTTTAAATAAAGTTAAGTTAAAGTCCAAGGAGTATGTTTTAATCTCTTCATTATGATGAAAGTGCTGTACCAAAGTAATTTTTAAGACTGTGCCTATCAAGTTTATAATTGGAAATTCATGCACACATAAAAGCATCTAAACACTTATAGAGGCTGATATAACTTTTGACCCAGTAATTCTACTTCAGTAAATTTATCCTGAAGAAATAGAGTTATAGCCAGAGGTTTATGTTCAAGGGTATTCATTGTAGCATTTAGCAAAATAAGTAGAAGTAATAAACAAGAAGCAAATAGTTAGATCAGTAGTAGTATGTTCATAAAAATAAAATACAATGCAGTCTTTAAAGATTATTTTCAAAGACTAATGAAATGGAGAAAAAAGTTAAATACAAAAGTGCTTTTATTATTATTTTACTACTTTTATATTTTGGTGGCTGGCCAGCACAGTGATTGAACCCTGGAACCTTGGTGTTACTAGCAACATGCTCTGACCAACTGAGCTAACTGGCCAGTCCCTGTTTTGCTACTTTTTTTATGAATAGGTGGTCAACTGGGTAAAACTGCTCTTTTTTATGGAGCATTGTTATATGCAGACATCTGAGAGTGGCCAGTGGTCACTTAACAGTCTTCTCAGGAGAACAGATTTGCTACTACTTTCTTTTTTACTATCAGTCCTGGAGGCATTTCTGAGAAGTTTAAGCCCTTTATTATGTGCAGAAATCTTATGTGTAAGGGAATTGCTGCACAGAAGCCATACATATCTAAATAAAACAAGTGGGAACATTTAATCGTCCTTCAGGCTTGTTTTCTAAGCAAATGGTGGGAATATTTACAGAGTATATTTGACAATGAAATACAGATCCCAAGAAGTGGCATGAATTCTGAAAACTCATGACATTAGCAATATAGAAAATTAAACAAGTTTTGGGGTTATGATGAAAATGGTGATAATTATATTATAAACGAGTATATACTATGTAAGAATTTCTTTGCCCTCAGGTATTTTGTAGTCTACAAAGGAAAGTTTGTTTACTCTAAAGTAGTATTTTCTAAAGCATGTTCTAAGGGTTACTTCTAGTTTTTAAGTGGGAAAATAGAGTTCATTGTTCAGTTAGGTGTGGGGGATCCCGTGTTAAGCAAAGTTAATCAGCTGCCTTTATCAAAGGACTGCTAGATTAGTGTTTATATATGTATTGTATCTAAAAGAGGCATATAGTAATATACCTAATTTGTTTGTCCATGGAATCCTTTATTGGAACTAAGTCTAAAATGAAACACATGCTGGGGAATTCCGTTTTGGATTAAACTTTTTTTTGTAACCGTGGTATATGAGGTACTTCAAAAAAGTTTGCGGAAAGACTTGTATTGGGCCGGCCCGGTGGCGCACTGCTGTAGTGCGCCGCTTGGGAAGTGCGGCGGCGCTCCCGCCGAGGGTTCGGATCCCACATGCAGACTGGTTCCCGCTCACTGGCTGAGCGAGGTGTGGGAGCGACACCAAGGGTTGCAATCCCGTTGCTGGTCCCGGTCCGGAGCGGGGGCGACACTGAGGGTTGCGATCCGTTGCCGGACACAGAAAAAGACAAAAAGGAAAAAAAAAAAAAAGACTTGTATTATCTTTTAATTTTGTTTTTCCGCAAACTTTTTGAAGTGCAGGGCCGGCCCGGTGGCGCACTGCTACAGTGCGCCGCTTGGGAAGCGTAGTGGTGCTCCCGCCGAGGGTTCGGATCCCACATACAGACCAACCGCTCACTGGCTGAGCGAGGTGTGGGGGCAACACTGAGGGTTGCAATCCTGTTGCCGGTCCCGGTCCGGTACGGGCGCGACACTGAGGGTTGCGATCCATTGCCGGGCATGAAAAAAGACAAAAAAAAAAGGAAAAAATAAAAAAATAAAAAATAAAAAACACTTTTTGAAGTGCCCTCATGTAAGTAATGACAGTACTGTGAAGTGTATTCTCCTAGTTAAAGAAAAAAAAGGTTTAAATGACACTAGACAACTGAAGGAGATTTTGCTATTAAAGTGTTTGCAAATATGTGATAGATTTTACTTAGTGTTTTTCCTTTGAATTTGTTATAAGCATGCATAATTGTTATAATCTCTTACCTACTTTTGTTATTTGAAATTCTTCTGTTTGTTGTTTCAGCTGAGACTCATTCCTGGTAGATTTTTTCTTGTCTGTTTTTGTAGATTGGAATAGGAGTTTATTTTCAGCTGTATTTTATCTGTGGAAAACCTGGGTTGAGATTATACCCTCTAGAACTGTTTTGCATTTGCTTCCCCAGGGGTTTCACTAGCCTGGAACACTTTTATTACTAATTTCTCAGTTTGGATCTTCCTGGGACCATGCAGATGGCATAAGCTCAATGCCCAGATTTAAGAGTGGTAGGCCTATTCTGAATTCTCAGAAGAGAACCTCTCTACCACCCCAAACCCAGGGCTCAGATTGAGGCAAACTTTATCATCTCCCTGTGCCAGTGGATGGGTTTTTAAAACTCACTGTTTAACTGAGGGTATAGTCCTTTGAAGCTCTTGGCTTTATGTAGGTGTCTCAGTTCGAAATGCCTATCTTATGTAGTCCTGAGGCCTCATATCCTGTTCCTCTAAGGCATTTTAAAACACAAACTCCTTGATTTTTTTTTTTTTCCTTTTTGTCTTTTTTTGTGACCGGCAACGGATCGCAACCCTCAGTGTCACGCCCGTACTGGACCAGGACCGGCAACAGGATCGCAACCCTCGGTGCTGCGTCCGCACCTCGCTCAGCCAGTGAGCGGCTGGTCTGTATGTGGGATCCGAACCCTCGGCGGGAGCGCCACTGCGCTCCCAAGCGGCGCACTGTAGCAGTGCGCCACCGGGCTGGCCCCAAACTCCTTGATTTTTGAGGAGATAAACAAATTTCTCTACCCAGTATTAGCTTATAGATTGCATTTAATGTTTGGAGCACTGGGAATTTCCCTTACATTCTTACAAGCTAATCTATACATTTGAAAGGATTTTTTTGTTGTCTACCTAGGCAGTCTAGGTTTCCATATTGCCAAAATTGGAAATCCATGCATTTCTTTTATAATAGAAAAATTCTAAAGATATTCTCATTTTTTAAAAAAGATATGCTTTCGGTCCGGTACAGGCGCGACACTGAGGGTTGCGATCCATTGCCAGACACGAAAAAAAGACAAAAAGGGGAAAAAAAAAAAATATGCTTTTTACATATAAAATAAAATATGTAACACTAGAATGTTTATTAGGGAGGTAGTGCTCTTTTTGTAGTTTTTAAATTCTTTTCTGTCCATAAACCATACATTTACTTGGCTTACTATAGGAGAATACTAGTCTTTCACTTTCTTTTTAGATGTAACCTTCTGTAATGGAAGATGATTGAAGATAAGGGACCTCGTGTTGCTGACTACTTTGTTGTAGCAGGCTTAACTGATGTTTCAAAGCCTCTTGAAGAAGAAATTCACTTCAATGATGCCTGTCATAAAGTAGCTAAACCAAAAGAACCTATCACAGATGTTTCAGTTATTATTAAATCTCTTGGGGAGGAAGTGCCACAGGATTATATGTGTATTGATGTTACTCCAAATGGATTGTCAGCTGATCTCAATAATGGAAGTCTTGTTGGGCCACAGATTTACCTTTGCTATAGAAGAGGAAGAGATAAGCCTCCGCTTACAGATCTGGGGTAAGTGTTTTTTAAATCAATTATTGTTATTGATCTGAATAATATGCCTTGTAGGTTTTGTTCATTTTGTTCATTAATAGAGGTATGGCAGCGTTAGAAAAATAGATAAATTTGTATCTAGAATCCTGTATTCTCTTCCTGTGTTCGTTTTGTCCTACAGGTTCCCAGCACTCTCATCCTACCTGGGTTTCTTTCTGTCACAGGCAAGGGAGAGAATTTGAAAAACATTTACAGAAAAGTATCAGAAAAATAATGTTTTATACTAATCAGTAAATGTTTAATTATTTTTAAAGTATGAGAAAAGAATGGCTTTTAAACATGTTATAGTGATCATTATAGATGGCTTCTTAACTCTGCACATCAAATAAGGATCTTGGGGGTAAATTAGAGCTTCATTTAGGGTACTATATAGAACTTAGGGCTCTTTTTAAAAAATGTATAACAGCTTTATGGAGATATAATTCACATAACATATCATCCAACCATTTTTTTTTTTCCTTTTTGTCTTTTTTTGTGTCCGGCAACGGATCGCACCCCTCAGTGTCGCGCCTGCGCCGGCCCGGGACCGGCAACAGGATCGCAACCCTCGGTGTCACGCCCACACCTCGCTCAGCCAGTGAGTGGGGACCGGCCTGTATGTGGGATCCGAACCCTCGGCGGGAGCACTGCCACACTCCCAAGTGGCGCACTGTAGCACTGTGCCACCGGGCCGGCCCCTCATCCAACCATTTAAAGTATGCAGTTCTGGGGCCGGCCTGTGGCTCATTCGGGAGAGTGCGGTGCTGATAACACCAAGGCCACGGGTTTGGATCCCATATAGGGATGGCCGGTTTGCTCACTGGGTGAGCATGGTGCTGACAACACCAAGTCAAGGGTTAAGATCCCCTTACCGGTCATCTTTTGAAAAAATAAATAAATAAAAATAAAGTATGCAATTCACTTGTTTTTAGTATATTTACAGAGTTGTGCAACCGTCACCATGGTGAATTTTAGGACATTTTTATCATGCCAAAAAGAAACACTATACTCATTAGTAGTTGCTACCCAATTCCCCCTAAACCCCTCAGCCCTAGGCAATCACCAGTCCACTCTCTGTCTCTATAGATTTGCCTATTCGGGACATTTCATATACTTTGAATTATATTATATATGGTCTTGTGACAGGCTTCTTTTGCTTAGCTTAATGTTTTCATGGTTCATCCATGTTATAGTGTGTGTCAGTACTTTATTCCTTTTTATAGCTGAGTAACATTTAATCATATGACTATATTACCATTTATCCATTAATCAGTTGATGGATATGTGGGATGTTTCTACTTTTTTGCTATTATGAATAGTGCTGCTGTGAATATTCGTGTACAGGTTTTTATGTGGACATATGTTTTTATTTTTCTTGTGTATACACCTAGGAGTGGAATTCTTGGGTCACATGGAAATTCTGTGTTTAACCTGTTTCTTTTTTTAAATTTTGAAATGTAATCATACATATTTGTGGGGTACAGTGTGTTGTTTCAATACATATATAATGATTCACTTAGGGTAGATAGTATATCTGTCCCCTGGACATTTATCTTTTCTTTGTGGTGATTATGGTCAAGATCCTCTTTTCTAGCTATTTAGAAATATCCAGTATCAGGCCAGCCCGTGGCTCACTCGGGAGAGTGCAGTGATGATAACACCAAGGCCACGGGTTCGGATCCTATATAGGGATGACTGGTTGGCTCACTGGCTGAGCGTGGTGCTGACAACAGCAAGTCAAGGGTTGAGATCCCCTTACTGGTCATCTTTAAAAAAAAAAAATCCAGTATGATATTATTACCTCTAGTCAGCCTAGAACACCAGAATTTATTCTTCTTATCTACCTGTAACTTTGTACCTGTTAATCCACCACTTCCCCTCATGCTAGGGTTTTACCTTTTGAGTAACTGCGAGATTGTTTTCCAAAGCAGCTGCACCATTTTGCATTCTCAGTATTGGTTTATGAAGGTTCCAGTTTCTCTACATTCTACCCAACATTTTATATTTTCATTTTGATTATAGCTGTCCTAGTGGGTGTAAAATGGTATCTCATTGTGTTCTTCTTGATTTGCATTCACCTCATGGCTAATGATGTGTTGAGCATCTTTTCATGTGCTTATTGACAAGTTTGTATATCTTTACCTTTACCCAGTTTCTAATTGGCCTTGTCTTTTTATTGTTGAATTGAAAGAGTTCTTTACATATTCTAGGTACAGTCCTTTACAGTTATATGACTTACAAATATTTTCTTTCATTCTGCAGGTCTTTTCATTTTGTTTATGGTATCCTTTGAAGTCAAAAAGTTTAGATTTTATATTTGAGCAGTATCAGGCTCAGAGAGGTTAAGTAACTGTCTAAGGTAATGCAGCTTGTAATAGGTGGTAGATATTTGAATTCAGATGTGTCAAACTTCTCTGTGCTTAGACGCCTTTTTTCCTGAAGTTAAAAAAAAAACAAAAATAAAAAACAAAAGGAGGAAGCTTACATTAGGGTTAACACAGTTTCTGTGATTAAGCATCAGATTTAGCTCTAGGGCTTGCCAGTTAGCTCACTTGGTTAGAGCCTGGTGTTGATAACACCAAAGTTAAGGGTTCGGATCCCTGTACTGGCAAGCTGCCTCACCGCAACCAAAAAAAAGAAATTTAGCTTTACATTTTCAAAATAAAATGTTGAGAGAAAAAAATTTACTGACAGCCAGTACAAAAAGAGAAATTAAAACTTATATTAGAAAAAAATAATTATTTTCTAAAAAGATTATTCCTGATCAATTCCTTGCACTAAATTTTATTTGTATAATGCAATTTTATTTAAGGGAATATTGATTGATGATGAAGACTTTGCCTTTTTAACAATTTTTCTAGCAAATGCTGAAACACATTTAATGTAGAGCTTAAACTTTTTTTTTTTTTTTTACTAGTGCCAAGGACTTAGCATTAAAGTACAAATCAGTGAATTCTGTGAGAGAATAAGCTAACATCATTCTAAGCATGATGTTTTCTTGATGTCCCCAAGTGCTTTAAGTAAAGTATTTAGAAGACTTAATGAATGGATGGCAGAACTGCCCTTTATTAAACGCCTATGATTTTACCACAATGAAGGAAAAAAAAGAAAAAAAAGCCTAGTCTCTCACCTAGACTTTTGGTTAAAGATAGATTTGAGGTTATATTCTCTACAAAGCCTAAAACTATCTCTTAAAGCTGAGGGAAGTATTGTAGATAAAAGTTTGCAAGCAGGTTCTATACTCTGGCAGTTTATCCTTTTGTAAAATTTTAACTTTGGCCAAAATGCAAGTTGCTTTTTCTAAAGAAGATGGTTGGTTCTAGAGGCAAAAAATAAAATAATTACTAATTCTATTAAGTAGAGTGCTAAAACAAGTGCCTTTGCTTTTAATTATTGCCATTCTCTGGTTCATGTTAACAAACACAAAGATTTATCTGAATTTTCCCTTAACATTACTTAAATTTTCGGTAGGGAAGAGTTATCCTTTAATTTTATATAGGATTGTGCAATTCGAACTTGCAATAAGATTAGAATATTTTTACCACACTGCTACATTTAAGGATCAGTTCAGGATGCCTGAGAATATTACCTTTCATATTTGAGGGTGCTTTGCGTATTTGTATATTTATTTTTTAAAATCTATTTTTTAGGGTTTTATATGACTGGAAAGAAAGATTGAAACAGGGTTGTGAAATTATTCAGAGCACTCCATATGGGCGCCCTGCAAATATTAGCGGCAGTACCTCATCACAACGAATTTATATCACTTACCGAAGAGCCTCTGAAAACATGACTCAGAATACGTTGGCTGTCACAGACATATGTATTATTATACCCAGTAAAGGAGAAAATCCACCACACACGTTCTGCAAAGTCGACAAGAATCTCAATAACAGTATGGTAAGTGACTCTTTTGCACTGATAAAATTAGCCACTGATGAAAAGAGCATAATTTTAAATAAATCTTTTTATTTTTATTTTTTTGGAAACAGCATAGCAAAATTACAAAATTGAAAATATGTTTTTAAAGATGTTAGAGGGGTTGGCCAGTTAGTTCAGTTGGTTAGAGTTTGGTGTTATGACACCAGTTTGCATCTCTGTACTGGCCAGCCGTCACCCCCACCCCCAAAAAAGCTAAAACTTTTCCTCCCTTAGTACAAAGCAGTGCAGTAACCGTGCTTACCTCCACTTATGCAGTAGATCCCATACCATACACTTACCTATTTGAGGACATGGCTTCAGCAATTCTCCCTACTTTTTTTGCAAATCATAAGTTTTTCCCTCTATTTTGGGTTATTTCCTCCAGCATGCAAAGCATGTTGCAAGATCTCTGATCTTCACAACACTTCTTGATCTCATGTTCCCCTCCTTCCATTGCCACATTTCATTGTTCTTTACAATAAAACTTCTCAAAAGAGTTGAATATATTCTGTCCCATTTCTCATTTTGACACCTTCCAGTTAGCCTTTCGTCTCCATCATTCCACCAAGATTTCTCTTGTTGGATTCAGCAATCAATTCTTTCTCTTAATTTTTCAGCAGGTTTTGACAGAGATGACTTCTTCTTTCTTGAAAGAGTGCCAGGAAGAGAGGATGTGTTCTTTTCTTAGGAGTCTCTTGCTTTTTCCTCCTGCCTCACCAGTCATTCCCTTTCTGCCTTTGCCTGATACCTTTCCTCTCCCTAACTTCCATACAATGGAGTGTCTCAGGGTTCAGTCCTCAGATCATTTATCTTCACCATCTAAACTCACTCCCTTGGCGATCTAATCATTTAAATACAGGCAATGTGTGGATGACTTCTTTTTTTTTTTTTTTTTTCCC